AACCATGAGCCATTGGGATCATTGATTATAGAACCGTAAGCCATTAGGACCATGATTATGGGTCTTTGTGGTGATAGGAACAATTATTATTTAGAAGTAAAATTAAAGTATTCCCAAGGGAAGGACATAATGCAGCTGATGAAAAGCATACTTATTTAGCTATATTTGTCTGTTTCAGCTTTTATTTCCGTAGCTTAAGTGTATAAAGCTTTAAAGCATCAAAAGTCTAAATATTGTTTTTAATAGATATTTTTTTCTTAATATTCATGAGGAGTAACGACTGAGAAATAACTATCTTTACCTGTTGTAGAAGGAACTTTCAGAAATTAATCTCTTAAGCAGTGCATAAAATGAAATTTCTAGTTGTTTTGAGCCCATGGGACAGCTGACATATTTGTGGGTAGCACAGAAGAGGGCTGGGGATCAACCCCACATAGGTCCATGTTTATACCCTAAAAATATTATGGGTTATAGTCTCACCTCAGTGACAAGTGTGAGGATCAAATAGAATATGACATGCAGGCTCGGCGCCTATGGCTCAAGTGGCTAAGGCGCCAGCCACATACACCTAAGGTGGCGGGTTCAAATCCAGCCCGGGCTCGCCAAACAACGATGGCTGCAACCAAAAAATAGCTGGGCGTTGTGACGGGCGCCTGTGGTCCTAGCTACTTGAGAGGCGAAGGCAGGAGACTCACTTGAGCCCAGTAGTTGGAGGTTGCTGTGAGCTGTGATGCTATGGCACTCTACCCAGGGGGATAGCTTCAGGCTCTGTCTCAAAAAAAAAAAAAAAATATGACATGCACAGAAACCTCTCTGCATAGCAGTATGGGAGGCAGTATTCTTATTGTTAGAATGGTGATAATTACTTGTGATTGGTGATAATCACAAGTAATGGTGATAATCACACTTGATCTTAGCCGAAAGCTGAGAAGGGATAGAATGGGGACAATTGTCATTAACAAAAGTTACTCTACTGAACACTGCTGTACAAGTGCTGTGTTAGGTAATAAGAGAAACCCAGAGAATACAGTTCCTGAGATTGAGTTGCTCGTACATGACTTTGATAGAAAAGTCTTAGGTAAACGGTAACTGACAAAACTGGACGGACGACAGGTGACAGGGAAGCCAGGTGGGGAAGATCAAGTAGTTCACATTTTTGTGGGATGTTCAGGAGATTTTCCTAAGAAAAACAGGTCCTTGGCTCGGTACCTGTGGCTCAAGCGGCTAAGGCGCCAGCCACGTACACCTAAGGTGGCGAATTCGAATCCCCAGCCCGGGCCCACCAAACAACAGTGATGGCTGCAACCAAAAAATGGCCAGGCGTTGTGGCGGGCGCCTGTGGTCCCAGCTACTTGGGAGGCGGAGGCAGGAGACTCGCTTGAGCCCAGAAG